GAGCTTGCCACTGGCCAGCTGAGCCACCTGTTTGGCTGACCCTTCGCCACACTCCTGCGGGCCATCCTGCACTGGACTGTGGGCACCTCTGTGATAAAGAGGCAAGATGGTCTTATCTGCTGTCCCTTTAGAATTATGCAGGTTTGCATTGTTCTGGTGGACGAGTCACATCCAGAAGTAGAGTGTTGTGTAATGATGGGATAGTAACCAGTTTTAATGATATACTGAGATACAAAAGCCTGTAATTTCAAATGGTAATAATTCAGATAACTAGGGAGCCACCAATCATGATCTTTTGTGTCTGATTCTGATTTCTTTATAGCCAACCTGGGGCTGATTTATTTATTTATTATGGACAATTTTTATTAGTCTTTTTTAATACAAAGCTCACACTGTGTGAGCTAAATAAACACAAGAAACATACCAGCACATTTCCAGTACTTCCTAAAAGTTGCAATATTTGTGCAAACACATTAAATTGATCATTTTTCAGCTTCAGGGAAAAAAGCAGAAAGCAAAAAAGCAGAAACAGTAGACTACATATCATTTTTTCAGTATGTAGTGTGTCCACCTTTTACCTTTATTGCACCCTCCATTTTTTCTGAAGGCTTAATTTCAGCTCTTCATAGAAATCTGCAGGCATATTTTTCTACACTTATAGAGTTCAGTCTTAGAAGTTGGTTTCATTTTCTGCTTATCAAATACATTCAGTGATATTGAGGTCTGGACTCATTCCATTGCTCTGACAACATCAGCAGCTTCTTTGAAAATGTTGTTCTGTTTTGTCTACTTCCTCTTCTCAGTAAAAGCTCCTTACCACTACATATCCATTTTTTTTCAGATCTGAAGCAAGAGCAGAGCTTGATTTTCTCCTATCCCTGTATATATATTTTATTTTATTTTATTTTATTAACTCTGGTTGTGAAAATTCTTGTTTTTTGCCTTGTTGTCTAATGACTTTCCCTTAAGCAAGTGGATTATCTTACGTCCCCTCAGAAATACCTCCTGAAAATTGAATAACTTAATGTCTGTAAAATGAATAACATAATGGAAGTCAAATAAATAAAGGGTGGTCTCTGACTTTTGCACAGTAATGCAGATAATATTATTTGCTCTTTAATGGTCCAAGCCGAAATTTTAGAGTTGTAAATGAAAAATCAGTTGCCTGTTTAAATAGGCGCTACATTGAAAGTGAGAGCTGACTGCCTCATGTTGAGTCATACAAATTGGTCGATTGCTTGTTTGGAGCAAAAATCGTCTGATTTTGATTGTGTTTTGATTGATTTATTTATGCAGCCTTATTTTAAGTACTATGACTCAGTAATTACACTACTGTTCAAAGGGTTGGCATCATTTGTCATATTAATAAGTCATTTACTAACTCATTCAGTATAGACAAGAAAACAACAAGGTTAAATAGTAAGAAATATTGACTATTTAATAAACTGTAGTTTTCTATTTGTAGTCATTTCTTGTCACAAATTTGCTATGAATAGCTGTTTGATCAGTGAGGTTCACTTACTGCTTTTCGAATGTGAGTCATTCTGGATGTACGGTTCATTCTCAATGCTCTCCAGCTTTCTGAATCATTATGGAATCATCTGCAGCTCCATTCATCATCAAAAATGTCAGTTTTCACAGCTTTTTACAAACTGTTTGAAACTTTTATAACATTAGTATCATCTTAGAATCATTTTCTATATGCAGCTGCAACCAAATCAGTTTTATATTATTGAAAACAATGATTCCAAACTTTTGAGCAATAGTGTACATGGACTACGATGCAAACTGGCTGTTCTTAAGCTGTAGAAGTGTGTAATTGGATCCTGGCAGGTCCAGACCATTTAAGATGAATGCTTATAGAAATTTAAATAGATTTTTGGTGTTAATAAAGCTTTATTAGTGGTGATAATTCTGATCACTTACATCATTGAAAATCTTCATTCCATCCGTCTCTAGTAGTGAGTGTAGTTCGTATTGGTGTTGTGTTTTTCAAAGTTAAGACTCTGGATGTGGAAAGGACACTGGTGTGTGTCTACTGGGTGTGGCTGTTTTCATTCTGTTTTATGATTTAGAGCCCTTTCCCAAAATGCATTGCTTCAGTCGATTTCTGCTCAAGGACTAGAGGACTACTTTTGTTTGATCGGACATCCAATCTCTCCATGTCGTCCACGTCTTTTTCCCAGCAACGTTCTGATGTAACCCAGTCTCAGTTCAGAACTATTATCTATTGAACTGCATGGATCTGGCCTTCACAGTAACCATGGTAACCTGAGGTAGTCACTGGTGTAATTAAAGAGGGTTTTTCTTTTTTTTTTGCCTGGTGCGATACAGTAACAGTTCCAGCGTTGAAATGGATCTCCAAGACCTTTTGTGAACGCACTAGAAGACGCATCTGTAGTATTTTATGTCGAGGAGGTGATGTGAGAAGATGTGGATACAGTGTTATTGTTGCCCCTTTGAGGGGTAGGAGGGTGGGGGGGCTGTGCACACATACGAGAGTGTTTTTCTCAGGCATACTGGTACAAAAGACCTGAAAAGAGGTTAAAAGCAAAAGTGCAAAAAAGGGCAGAGCTGCCAGCATTTTAATGTTTAGGCTTTTGTCATCCTTTTGTTCTTTGAGTACTTTGATTTTTAAAAGGATTCTTTTTTTTTCAGCCTGAGGAAACATTTTCTCGGGGTTTGTTTTGCCGCTGGAAAGAACCATGTACAAGTATTCCTGTGCGGTAATATGTGAGAGGGAATACTGATAGAGCTTTTTTTTCCTAGATACCTTGCTGTGATGCTCCACATCTTTTCTGGATGACACACGCAGAACATATGTCTCCTTTCCTCAGAGAGCTTCTGTCACCAGAGAACCCCAAAGATAGAAGCACTCCCACTGTACTGACCTGAGTGAGAGAGAGAGAGAGAGACAGACATAGAGAGAAGCAGTGGTTGAAAATGGAAAGTCAGTGCGAAAAAAAAACAGAAAATAAAAGGTTTGGGAATTGAGATGAGAGATGAGGGGAAAATGCAGAGAGACAGGCATGGGAACGAGGGCTGGTGGGCTACAGCAGGAGAGGGGCTTCAGGTTCGATTACGAGGCAGGAATTGCGTCTCAGCCTAAACGTTCAACAAATAGGGAAGAGTCAGATGGTGAATCCTCAATTAGAGGGCGAGATGGGCTGATGTGAGGAGGTCGCTGTCGTTGTCATGCCGTGACGCGCCCCCTCCTCGCTGTTTCTCACAGAGAGATCATTTCTCAGCACAAAATGAACTCATAATTCACAGCAGGTAGGACTCTTCAGAACACAGGAGACGAGGAGCTTTCGCTTTGATGAATTCTCTTTATGGGAGTTCGTTATGGGCAGCATATTAAACGGGCGGTCGTCTCAGTGCAGTTGGAGCGCCTCGAATGAGTGGAGCTGTGTTTCATAACTAAATGAAATTGTCACTCTGAGGCGTCGTGTGCTTTGTCTCTTCTGTTTAGCAATTAAGGTGCAGCTTGAATCCTTTAAAGTCTAGAGTTATTTTTATCTTATTATTGTTTTTCCTATATTTAACTGTAATAATATAATTACATGGTTCGTTTCATGGTTACATTAGTTACCTTTGCAGTACTGTGCAAAAGTCAGAGACCACCTATCAATCACTTAATTTCCAATCAAAATGGTCATTAAGTACAAGTTATTCAAAAGAGGCTGGTCATGTCTTACTTTTGATGCAGCACTTTCTTAAATAGGCATCTGATTTTTCATTGGGTCAGTTTGGCCCATTAAAAAGCAAATAATGTTATTTGTAGTACTGTGCAGAAATCAGAGACCACCCATTATTTATTTCATTTCCAGTCAAAACAACCATTAAGTACATTAATCCAGAGGAAAGTCAAAGGAAAATGAGCGAATAAAAATTGGGTGTTCAAAAACTGTTAACACAAAATTGGACTCCTAATAAATGTGGAAGACCTGGTAGACCACCCAAACTTACCATCAGATAAACAGTACCTAAAGCTTTCCTTTTTGAGAGAGAGTGGAAAATCAAGCTCCGCTCTTGCTTTAGATGTGAAAAAATCCACAGGTGTCTCTGTCCATCCTTCCACTGTGAGAAGACAACTCAACACTATGAGTCTGGAAGGATGTGTAGCTGACAAGAAGCTGTTACTGAGAAAAGGAAACAGACAAATAAAGAAGAACTGCAAGTCAAACAAAGAAGCTGTTGGTGTTTTCAGAACAATGGACTGACTACCCCCAAGTCCAGACCTCAGCATCACTGAATGTGTTTGGGATTACTTGGTCTGTGAGGAGAAGAAACAACCATCCTCAAAGACTGAACTTTGGAAGTGTGGAAAAATATCCCTGCAGATTTCTTTGAAAAACTAAAATCAAGTCTCCTGAAAAGAATGGAAGCCATAATAAAGGCGAAGGTTAAACACACTAAAAACTGAAAAATCTGCTATTATGTTTAGTTGCTGTGTAATTCTCTGTTAAATATATGTTTTCTGCTTTATTTTTAATGCTGAGTAAGTTGTACTTATTTGCTGTTTTGACTGGAAATGAAGTAAATTATGAGTCATCTTTGACTTTTTACAGTTTTCTTTTCTTTTTTCTTTTCCAATTTTCTTCCCTATTTAGACATATCCAATTCCACCCTCTAGTTAGGACTCCCCCTGATCACACGATACAACCAGCGCTGCAGCGTCACTGCATCTTTTTGAACTGCTGCTAACACAACATAATTGGACAGCTGAACACATGAAGGCAGTTTTGTCTTTTTTTATGTTTTGCTGTCGAACAATTACAAAACATTTTTTAATTCTGCAAAACAAAATTGTGCACATAATAATAATAATAACTTTTCATCAAATTTAAAGCATAATAGAACATCTCCTTTTCTTAATGTTTAGAATCATTGTGTCTCTGCTTGTTTCATTGATCTCTGGGTGCTTTGTTATCCATTTCAAAAGGTTAACTCACTTTTTCTACTCTCTCCAATCCCCATCTTCTCCACCCTTACCATAGGATAAGTGTCTGAAGACCAGCAGCATCCAGACATCTACAACACTCTTGTAATTATCTGATCTGGAATCAGACCTGAACAAGTGCACCGGGCAGATCAGAGCGATTGGAGAGACTGTAACAGGTAGGAAGCGGGGGAGATTTTGGATGTACTAAGGGGAGACTGGCGGCCAGAGGACGTTCGGAGGGCTGGCAGGGAGAGGGCAGAGAGGGTGGGTGGACAGCAGCACCATGGAGATTACAGATTAGGAGATTAAGGGACAACAGCAGAGCAGGGCACATCGCCTTGTCAAAATTGGAGCTTCCAGCAAACCCAATGCAGCCTTAAGGACTGTCAGTGTGAAACTGGTAGGGGACGGCGAGCGACACATGTCCCTATGTTTTGATGCTCGATAGCTGCAGTAACAGAAGGAGGTGAGCTGGAGTGATGAGATTTTTTTTGTTGTGTCTTTTTTTTCTTTTTTAATCCAGTCCCTGCTCCTTGCAGGTCATTCCTTCATAAGCTGTTTTGAGGAGGTTCTCTGTCAAGATCCTTCAAATCCCCTTTGTGTGTTTAAGTCTTTAGGGCTTTATGACTTTGATTGCTTTTGTTGGTTCACGTCTTTGTCATTAAATAGTTTTTTTTCTCTTCGTGGCAGAGAGAACTCCATAGGCCACCCACACTAGGAACTGCTCGTCCAGCCCGGAATGTCCAGAGAGCCTCACTTTCTGGCAGACAGCCCGAGTGTGGACCTGTTGCAGACGGAGACCGGTTTATTGCCTGCTGTGCCAGCAGTGAGGCACACACTCGGTTCCCGTGAGCTGACCGCCATCACACACACCGCACTGCAGTAACCTGCGTGCAGCTGTCACTCGGGTCACTGCAGCGACCGCCGGCCAGCAGGAAAGGACAGCCATGCCTCTGAGTCTGGGCAAGTCTGGACTGGAATTGCACTGATGCAAGGAGAGAGGGGAGGGTAGTGGAAAAGAGAGAAAGGGAAAGTCCAGGATGACTTTTCAGTACAAGTCTGCAGGAAAACTCCACCCTTTTCCTCCAAAGACTGCTGGCCTTTACCCCAACACGGCGGCTCACTAGAATAAGAGCGAGCAGGATTACTCTGCCGAGGAGTGCGCACTCACATGCTTGGAGAGAATTCTGCACGAAACATGTGGATGACAGCCTTTGCTCGGCCGGCACTGAAATGTCAAAAACGCTGAGGGGTATTTCCTACAGCCGTCGCTGCAGGGAAAATCAGACAGCTAACACTCGCACCCACGCGCACAAAGCACACTGACTGACTGGGTTTTGCAACAAGCTGGACAGGTGTGCGTGTTTGAGTGGAGCCAGGAGAGGATGAGAGGCAGACGCTTTTGAGGTGAGTGCGACAAGAGGACACAACTTTATACATGCAGCGCCTGTTGTACTTTGAAAGTACCACGAGGCAGGTTTATGTAATATGAAACAGCAATGTAAAGTCAATAAAAATGAAAAAGAAATGTATGTAAACATTGAGAGACAGAAAATAAAAGAATTAGGATTGAAAAAAAATCAAATGTGATGACAAGTTTATTACATTTTTTTGTAATTCATTTGAAAATGCCAGCTCCTTTACATTTTGTGAACATTTCATAGAAATGCTCCAAAATGGCTTACTATAAACTCTTAAAGTAACACATAGATGGGTGACAAATTAAAGAAAAAATCTGAATAAATGAGTGAAGCACGAGTACAGATGCTTCCAGAGAGATGTACTGCAAGATACAATTAAACAGTTATCATGCTCTGTGGCATTCATAAAAATTCTGAGCAGGCCCAGTTGACCTTGATTTTGCTTCAAGATGGCCAGAGGTAAAGATCTAAATGACTTTGAATTAGGACTCTGCATTAGCTTCAGTCACAGGTACTGCTCAACTGAGTAGTATTGTAACAGTGAATAAAGTGACTGGAAATTGGCTGGAAATTGTGGTCAAAAGTGCACATTCAGTGACCAACTGTTGACTGAGTGACTGAGACTGTCAGGTCAGTGGTGCAAACATAATAGGGACCAGTTTACAGAGATGTGCATCTTTAGCCATATTCTCCACAAGTGGGTGAGTGCATGTGTGAATGGAGCAGAACAGGTCTAAAGGGTTGACCATAGTGAGGAGGGCTGGTGGCTCTCTCATACTGCGGGGCAGGGGTGGCACCACACCTTTAAAAGTGGTGGTAAAACTTATTTTTTCTGAGAAACGAAAGAAACAAAAAAAAGAGTGCAGCTGGGCCCTGACTCACTAAAACTACCTTTCACGTCATGCTAATGTCTCTCTAAACCTATTCGTGAACAGTCAGTGTTTGTTTTAATCCTGCAATTAACTGGGTTTAGCCTCAGATGGCAAACTTTGCTAGCTAACATCCTAAACAACATCTGGCTGTTTTCATACCCTGTTTATTTTCTGATGTCCGCTCTGAAGTTTTGTGATATTGTATCTTTTTCATTTGGTTTAGGTGGTTTCACACCGCAATGGCTAAAACTGTAATTTAAAAATTGAAAAAACATTGGTCCACATTACATGGTGCAGGTGTTCATTTATTGGTCAGAAATTTTGCAGGGATAGAAGCACAGTTATTCTTACATTACTCTCACATTTTTCACCATAAAAATAAAATAAAGATGCATTCTGTCTGTGTATGTCACAATCAAAGCAATCTGACTGATCACCTATGTCCAAAAATTCTGTCCTGGGAGGAGTGGTCTCTACCAGGATGACGATGTCCCAGTCCAAGTATGAGAAAAAAATGATTTGAATGAAAATTATATAGATGATAGGCCAAGGCCTTCGCAGTTACCAGATCTTAAACTAGTGCAGATTTTGGACCGACGCATTAAACGCTGCTCTACGATTATAGAAAACACAGAGTGAATATCTTTAGGAAGAACAGCGTTTTATCCCTCACTTCCAGAGACTTGTGCAATATCTGTCAATGTGCATTGAAGCTGTTCTGGCGGCTTGTGGTGGCCCAATACTTTTCCTAAGACTCTTTAGGTAGTTTTTTTGCTTTAATTTGTCACCCACCAGTTATTTTTGTAAATTTTGTTATATTTTGTTATGACAACAAGAATATACAAATTGCTACACACAAAAAAAATAAATATTCAAAAAAGAGCCTGTATTCAGACATCTTCACAGTATCTGCATTTGATCTACATTTCTGGTTCCATAATTTCTACATGCAAATACCTTTTCTCCTGTTGTAGATTTTTGGACTGGAGCTCGAGGCGCACCCCTGCTGGAGAGAGAGAGAGAGAGAGAGAGAGAGAAAGAGAGGGCGGGCAATCAGCAGTGGAAGCTGACACTGTTGATGTGAACCACAGACAGAGAGAGAGAGAGAGAGAGCGAGACAGCGCCACTTCCCACCCTCAAGCTGTTTGTGTGCGTGTGTGTGTCGGCTGGCTCCGAGGGCACAGTGGCAGGGGCCGGTGCATGGCAGTGGGGGGGCAGAGTGGCGTCCGCTCCTCAGCAGCGGTCAGGCTGGGGGTCGACCTGGGGCCTGGGCCTGGGCTGGGCCGCCTGGGCCAGGACGCAGAGGCCGGGCGAGACGAGGCCCTGGGGACCCGTTGGGGTTGGAGCTGTGGCAGGAGATCGGGGATCCCGGACAGGCCCGGGGGGCATGCGCTGCTCTCTCCGCGTGTGGGTGCTGCTGGGGTCTCTGGCCCTCCTCTTCCTCACTTCACTGCTCTTCTCTTTCTCTCTGAGAGGGGGTCCCGGCCTGCCCTACCTAGATCCCGGGCCTGGCTGGGAAGAGTCCCGCAGGGTGAAGCTGGTGCCCAACTATGCTGGATCACACAAGCCAGTCCCTGCAGAGAGTGGCCAGCAGAAGACGTGCGCCTGCGCTCGCTGTGTGGGCGACCCCGGCGTGTCCGACTGGTTTGATGAGAATTACGATCCTGACATCTCGCCGGTCTGGACACGGGACAACATCCAGCTGCCTTCAGATGTCTACTACTGGTGGGTGGTGAGTAAGCCGGCTATATCCACAAATTTCTTTAAATGTTGTTTGGTTTATTCATTTATTTATTTATCCTTCAGAACACTTTATATTCAGATACCCATGTTCTGGAAGAATGTATGTGAAATGTGTGCAGCATCTTTTTAAGTAAAACTTTAAAAAGAAACTTTTTAAAATAAAAGTAGTATTAATATATATTAAAATATATTTAAAAAAAATACCATTCACTACTCACTCTAAACAGTCCATATATGGTATCTAAGCAGCAAAAAACACTCAAATTTAATGTGGCATGTTTGTGACATCACAACCATGAACACATTTGCATTGCACCACCCATTCATCTAATAGAGGTTTTGCATGCCTGTTCACATTGATGGAATAAAGCGTGCTGTTACTGCAGACTGTCTGTAGCAGATATTGGAAGACAGTTAAACGGTATCCAGTATCTGGCTGTTGGGAAGCAGAAGTATCTTTTTGCATAGCAATTCTGAAGGAACCAGACATCCGAAACGAGTGGCTAGAGTTTCATTTTTCTGATGTCTCTGAGGATTTAACAAAACTTAACTGTTTGTTTTACATATTTCAATCCTTTTGGCTTTTTATGTATGTTGTGACCCATGTGTAAAGGAGCAGAACAGAACAGTGGACATTTACGTACGTTAGTGAGGAAGAAACTGTAACAAAAAAAATCTTGTTTATTTCTCAGAGAAAGGTTGCAAAATGGTCATGTAAATATTAATTATGACTGTTTCGCTACATCAAAATATGCAGAGGTTAAAAGTGGACTAAAAAAAATGCAAAAAAAAATTAGAAACTGGTCTCTTTAACAAACGGAAGAAGTTCTAATAAATGTAAAACTAAAGTTACAGAAGAACTCCACAGAAAGTGAGTAGTTGCTACCCTTGACTAAAAATTCTCTGAATTACTTTTTAGGTGTTTTTCCCCTTAAAGCAGGGAAGTGTGAATTCTGGAATTGTGCTTATGCAGCGCGTCTAGGAGACAGAGAGCCAAAGGGGCGGTTTTATTAAAGAGAACATGAGTAATGTCTGAAAATGAAAACGAGTGCACCAGCCGAACAGCGCAAAAGTCTGTAATGAGGCCCAGAACGAATTGGTGCCCGGAGAGGCGCCCGGCTGATTTGAGCTGGAGGCTGTAATAGATGAGAGGAGAAGGTGGTTTTACTTACAGAGCAAGTGGAGGGGGGGAGAGTGCCTTTTTTTCCCTCCACTGAGTGTTTAGGGAGGATGCAGGGTGACTCAAGGCTTCCCTGAGTCGCAAATCTGTTTGGGCCCTTGGCTAAAGTTCTTCACTCTACCATGTCTTTTGGGTCTGTTAGGATTGCCGTATTTTGCTTTGTGCCTTGTTAATGCACAGAAGTACCAGCCTGCACAGCTCTGTTTTAAGAGGTTTGGACGGATGAAAGTAAATAATGTAAGAAAATATCTGTGAGAGAGAAAAAAAGGGGGAAAAGAAGATTAAGAGGGGCAGGAGAGTTGGTGTTGGTGTCAGAGAGGCCAGAAGTTTTGTGTGATGGAGGTAGGTGGGGGAGGAGTGGAGAATGGCCAGTTGTAGGTAAAGGTCAAGAGGGAATTTATGTGAGTTTAACAACTTTTCTGTTGTGTTTGCTATGTCCGCAAAGTACTGGACGCTCCAGAGCAGTGCTTACATACCCTTGCCTCTCTCTGCTGGCCTTAGCTGGGCTCAGAATAAAATCACTGGCTGGCATCCGTGTCCAGGGAACATTTGCCAAGAATTATTGGGCCGAGTGGAGAGCCGATGGGCTCGGCCAGCCGCTGGCACAGGAGAGAGATGGGCAGATAGATAGACTGAGAGAGAGTGAAAGAGGGGAATAGGAAAAAGCAGAGAGTGAAAGCAGATAGCTGGAATAGTCAATGCTGGAACATTTGCATGGGCGTTTCATTAATTCCACGGCAGCAGGCGGCTTCAGCGCTGGCACTGGCACCCTAATTCCATGTTTGTGTCTGCATGGATAGGTACACAGGCCTGAACATGAACAAGACAAAGTGACCCTCATTCAGCTGGACCACAGTGCCTAGGCCATACTCACTGCTAGCTTCAAGATATCCCATCTACATTAATGTTTACCTCTAAAGCTAGCTGGGTAAAAAGCTAGCATTCTTGAATGTGATCCATCCGTAAAACAGCTTTTCAAATTTCACAATTAAGCGAAAGTTTTTTTCCTTTTTATGGTAGCAAGTTATTTGTTGCTGCATTCAGTCTTGAAATGTTAGTTCACTTTATCCTCTGGGATTGTTGCAACCACAGCTCAGTACTGTTGACATGGTCAGCCCACGAAACAGCCACACCTGCACTGCATGACATGAAACTCAAGCTTGCACATTTCAGAAGGTGGAGTCAGTAGAGACATTGACAACCACCCTCTTCTCTCTCTCTCTCTCTTTCTCTCTCTCTCTCTCTCTCTCTCTCCATTTCTCTCTTTCATTCTCTATCTCTCGCTTTCTCTCTCTGTTTCTCTCTTTCTCTCTCTCTCTCTTTCTCTCTCTCTCTCTGTTTCTCTCTTTCTCTCTCTCCATCTCTCTCTCTCTCTCTCTCTTTCTCTCTCTGTCTCTTTCTCTTTCCAACACTCTTCCCTCTCCCTCTTTTCTGTCCATACCTCTTTTTCCTGTGTTCGGCCTTTCCCTTGCCTTTCCTATTCTCTGTCTCTCTCCCTCCTTTTTTCTCCACACCCTTTCTCTCTTTTTTGTCTCCCATTTATGTCCTTACCTGCTCCTTTTCTCTGTCTTCCCTCTCTCTTTACATCTCTTCCTCTCCCTTCCCCATCTCTATATACCTTCTGTTTCTTTCCCATCTCTATTTCTCTCTGTCTCTCCATACCTTCTCTTTCTCTCTCTCACCATCCTCCTGTTTTTCTCCATACACTCTCTCTCTCTCTCTCTCTCTCTCTGATCCATGTACAGATGCTGCAGCCTCAGTTTAAGCCTCATAGTATCCAGCAGGTGCTGCTGAGGCTGTTCCAGGTTATCCCGGGCCGCTCGCCATACGGTTCGTGGGACCCCGCCCGCTGTCTGCGTTGCGCCGTGGTGGGCAACTCGGGCAACCTCCGAGGAGCCAGCTATGGGCCAGTGATCGACGGCCACAACTATATCATGAGGTGAGAGAGAACGTGAGCAGAGAAAAAGTGGCTTGACAAAGTAGTTTGAATATAATCATGTGGTCTTCAGGATCATCACATTACATTTTCAAAACGATATTCAAATATATCCAAACCAGTCTACCTAGATATGTGCCTCATAAAGACATCTCTACAGTTAGCCTCCCTTTATTCAGGCTGAGCTAAAGTGCTAGTTACCTGAGCCAGATTTAATAGACTGACATTTCAAGAGATTTCAGCCTTCAGAAGAGAGAAGATTGAGGTAGGACACAATGTGCTTATTTGGAGAGGGAAAAAAAGAATACGAGGTGTAACATTTTGCCTTTGGGGAGGTGTGGAGGAGTTTCAGATGTTTCAGAGCGAATAGAGACGGAGGAGAGCGACAGCAGGAGGTGGAGGAGAGAAAGAGAGCAAGATGAATGCATAAATTGAGGTACTATTTTGGTAAAGTCTTTATTGATTCAGCTTTGAGCTCTCAAATGAGTCCTGCATCGCTCCCCGTATCCATCTCTTTCTTCCCTACAGCGCCTGCCTCGTTCTCTCTCTATTGATGTGGAACCGCTGTCTGTTCTTGCTCGGCCACCTTATAAATGACTGGCTGTTTGGGCTATTTGGTGCCTTCGGTTGGGATCAAATTGGTTCGCTGTGGCAGTTTTTTTGTGTCGTCTTAAATTGATCTTGTGATGTTGCTTTTGAAGGCATAACTAAAAGTTGCTGCCATACGGTTCTAGTTAAGGAATTCATTTTTAGTGCATATTGATGTAGAATGAAATTGAAACTATAGAGACTTCTAAGCTGACAATCACCACCTGTTTACATCTCCTATATGAAAATAGTATGAAGTATTTTAAACACCAAAATAACTGAATCATGTAAAATGCATGTTCTAGTGCTAGTTTGGGAAGCTTCGTTAATATTTACGTTTAAGACTTTAAGTTCGAGCTGTTTATTTGAGTTTAAGAAATGTGACATTTGATAATCATATCTGACAACTGACATTTCACATGTGACACCCATGCCAGACAAGAAAGCACTGCTTGACTAAGACTATCAGAGCCTTTTTAATACTGCTCAAAATTAGTATTGGCCACAAAATGTTCATATCAGTCAGTCCTTAATAGATATTTGCATGTTAACAGTAGCTGAGAAGCAAAGAGGACAGTGCTGTAAGTTATCTTTGCTTCTATAAGTATATCTGGGAGGAGTCTGTGTTGCAAGACTAACCACAGCATAAAGCACTCATTGAATAGATTATTGGGGACATAGGGCAGCTCAGTATTTGAGCAGAAACTGCTGATAGATGAGCACTTGCCAAACATATGATAGATTCACACCAGCTGGCATTATTAATCAGTTGTACCTGTCTCTAATGGCCGGTATTGGCCCTATTAATATGTGTGGGGTGTATCAGTTGGTGCGCCACCCTCTGTTCTAAGCTGGAACAACTACAAAGGACTGCCGTTCTCTCCCCCACACCGCAATACCGCCAGGCCTTTCAGATATCTGTGAAATAAATTTTTCATAGAATAGACACAAAAACCCTTGTGTTCTGGCAACCACTGTCAGTGGGTGCGAGGTTTGGAAGCATCCATGGGAATCAAACAGGAGGAACTGAGAACAGGGTAGCTTGTATATTTTTCTCCGAGTCTGCCGTTGAGCTTACTGTTCGTGCCTTGAAGGTGTTTTTACCTGTTTTTTTGGCCCTCATTACTAAGCAAGCCCACACTTAGGCCTTTAATCTGCAATTCTCTTGCATTAAACATTGGAGGAAGATCATAATATTTTCTGTAGAGGCTTAAGAAGGTACTTCGGTTAATGAAAAAAAGCAAGGCCCGCGAGGTTCCTGGAGAGGCTTTGACTCTTAAGAGGATAAAGATGGAGAAACATATAGATTATTGCCAAAGACCAACGTCAGAACCTGTAGCAGAGCACAAAAAAGCTCAGCTAATTCCTGAATCTCTTCACACTCGGGTTGGCACGCTCAAAAGAAATGAAAGCACCCAAATTCAAGTGAGCACATAGCAAACACAGATGCTTTTTTAAATAAACATGTGGTTAGGGACGGATGCAATCAGTTGCAGGGAAATAGAAGCTGTAGGCAAGGTAGGCTTACATTCAAGGAAAAAGAGGAAGAGAGAGCATGTGGAGAATATAGACCTGCAGCCTGGAAATTGAGAGGTGAAAGGCAAGCTGAAGTGATAGACAAAGACAGGGACAGAACATGGATGAATTGAATCTCTCCACAGAGACCGAGCTGTCAGCTCCTGTCTTTGTCTATGTCTGTCACTCAGTCTATCTCGCTGCTTCTTTCTCTCTACTTCATTCTAATACACAACTCTGCCAGTTTATTAGAAACACCAACCTTGTAAACCCATTGAACATTTTGTCAAAAACACCTACACTATATGGCCAAAAGTATGTGGACACCTTCCTAATTATTGAGTTCAGGTATTTCAGCCATACCAATTGCTAACAAGTGTATAAAGTTCATGAAATTTCTGCCTGGCTAGATCTGCCCCGGTCAACTGTAAGTACTATTATTGTAAAATAAAATCAGCTAGAATTAACAACATCGTAGCCATAAAACAATACACTGCACTTTTTTGTTTGTTTGTTTTGTGCTGGTGCTGGTACAAGGTAGATACCAGGCAACCCAGTGTAGCCTTTCTCTCCCTCTCTTTTTTTCCATCTGTCTTCATCTGTTTAGTCACTATATCTCTGTCTGTCCCCCTGTTCATCTGGATATCCTTCATGTAAGTGTCACCTGAAAGTGGTGACTGTTGGTCTGTCTGTTTCACTTGACATAATTTTGGTTGATTTATGGTGGCCGTGCCAGTAATTTCCTGGCTTTCCTTGAATGTCGAAAGTGTCCTCTTTAAGCTTTGCTATATTTATAGTCCTGCTAAAGCACAGAGGCTCAGCCCACAGACTGCAGCACTATTCTGGTCATGATCTAATCACACTTTGTCAAGCCTCCATGGAGAGCGAACATTTTTACTTGGATGGAGTCATGCACACCACCACAGTTGTAAATGAGCCTTCCATGTTGTCCCCATTTGCATCATTTTTGTCATGTGATCTGACTCATGTCAGTATGAGAGCCATAACACAGGCCAGGGTTGTGTTCATTTACTCCAGCCCTACATGAAGGAAACCTAATATGGCAGAGTAATGCCAATAAAAATGCATGAGCTGTACTTTACAAGTGTCTGGGCTGAGTGAGTAACCGCTGTTTTGGCTCTTTTGGTGTGTGTTTTCCAGGATAAACCTGGCTCCCACAGTTGGATATGAAGAGGACGTGGGCAGCCACACCACCCACCACTTCATGTACCCAGAAAGTGCCAAGAACCTAGCTGCCAACGTCAGCTTTGTTTTAGTGCCCTTCAAGACTCTGGACCTGCTCTGGATCACCAGTGCCCTCTCCACTGGCCAGATCCGCTTGTAAGAGACCATACACACACACACACACACACACACACACACACACACACACACGCACACTTTGTTTTTACACAGTGTCAGTATGTAGCATTATAACTGTGTCCCATATAGTGAATGCTTTAGATATTTCATTTAACTAAAAGTTATATTAGACAAAGTGAACCTTATGAACCACAAAATATATTTTTAAGAATTATTATTTGATTTATTTAATGACCAAAGTAATCCAACCTGTTATCCATCAAAGTTATCAACCCATGTGAAAAAGTAACTGCCCCTTTAAAATGAATAACCTGTTGCATGATGTTTAGTAGCACTAACTGCAACCAACATTGCCTATAATTTGACATCAGCCTTTCTCATTGATGTGGAGGAATTTTGAATTTCTTTGCAGAATAGCTTTAATTCCAATATAGTACTTGGTTTTCAAGCATGAACTGCATGTTTGAAGCCCTGCCACAGCTTCTCTATTGGGTTCATGACAGGACTTTGACAAGGCCACTCTAAAACGTTTTCAGCCATTCAGATGTGGATTTGCTTTTTTGTTTTGGATTATTGTCTTGCTGCATAACCTGATTATGTTTCAGCCTCAGCTCATGAAAAGATGAACAGACACTCAGTATTTCAGAATTCTCTGATACGGAACAGAATTCATGGTTCCTTTAATAATAGTAAGTTGTCATAGTCCTGAGGCAGCAAAACATCCCCACATCTTCCCACTACCATCAGTATGTTTGAATGTTGGTATGATGTTCCTATTGGGAAATGCAGAACATGCTTTACAGCAGATTTAAAGAGACCTGAGTCGTCCAAAGAGTTACACTTTGGACTGGTCTGTCCACAGGACATTATTCCAAAAGGCTTAGGGATAGTAGGTACTTTGTTGGAAATGTGAGGTGACCATTGAAGTTTCTTTTGGTTAACAGTATTTTCTGCCTCGCTGCTCTTCTATGAATGCCCAGCTCCTGCCGGAGTTGGGAGTTTTGAAATCTGACCTTAACTGAGGCTAGAGAGGCCTGCCGTTCCTTGGCTGTACTCCTAGACCTTTTAGTGACTTCCACAATGTTTTGCCTCTGTGCCTGTGGGGAAATTTTCGCAGACTGGCCACTACTGGGAAGATTAAACAGTGTTCACAGACTTCTCAATTTGTAGATAATTGTCTCCTCATCTCTTTTTTTTTCGATTTTCTTTTGATGGTGGCCTAATGCGCTTATTAAAAACTTTGTAACAACTGCATCACTTTGATTGTAAAGTTTAATAAGAGTGAGGGGCTAACACTGCCTGTGTTCAATCAGGTGAAACTCATTATCAATTAAATTTGGTTAATTTGTTGCTTGAGTAACTAAGGGGATGGTCACTTTTTCACCATTGAGTGATTTGCATGTTGGGTTGATAGATTGTCTTTTTCTTTTGTCTAATATTTTATTTAAAGTTCTAGAAGCATTTCCTGTGACAAATACAATAATAGAGAAAATCTAGAGCAGAAACTTTTTCACATCACTGTATATATCATAAATGTGCATAATAAGAATTGCGTAACCCTGAACCTAGACCTAATCTTAATCTTAGTAACAAAAATGAAATGGTTTTGTTCCTTCAGTAAACAGTAAACAAGTGGCTATTGTAAAAAACTACTTTACAAACTGGAACATTTTGTTGGTCGTGACATTGTAGATGTGCCTGTCAGAATATGTCTCAAAAATGTACAGGAAACACACACACACACACACACACACACACATTCAGCTACGATCTTCTACATTTCCTCTTCATAGCCAGAAATGGCTCCAGTCAGCACAGAATTGGACTAGATATACATACAAACATTGGACAAGTCTTCAGTCTCACACGAGCTGAACAACTGTGAAACACCCACACGTTCTGTTCACAAGTTCATAGCGGTCTGCAGTCTCACACTTCCATTCGTGCACATGGACCCACACACATACATGCTTAAAAAACATTTTCATACACATACAAGTCAGAACACATCATTTAAAGACGATTTCCACCAATTTTTTCAAATTTTCTGCATGATTGCATGAAAGATGTGAACAAAGTCACTGAGAGTAGTTTGATGTGAAATGGTTCATTGCAGGAAAACCAACTTTTTCTTTACAGTGGTGGCGAAAGGAATGAAGGGTCACAATAACTACAAACATAGCCATTTTATTTACTATCCAAAACCATCAGTGAACCCACATGTGTCTTCTGAGTTTACGTGTAGTGTTGATAATGATAAAATAGTGGTAAATCAATTTTTGGGTGCTATTTTGCCTTACAGTGCTCGCATGTGTCTCTCCACCATAAATAGATTTTTAAAAGTGAGTTTTAGGCCAAAAGCTTTACATAAAACTATCATTAAACAAAGTCTCAGACATCAGGCAGCTTATTCACAATCTTTTGACGTAATAGCTTCCTTTGAGGGAGATTTTAGAGGCATTAAACTCTCCAGACGTCTGATTCCGATCACCACTGCTGTGAACAATTCTCAGTAAGAACATCACATTTCACATCAAACCGCTCTGAATTGTCTTTGTTTACATAGTAAGTACTTAATTATGCAGAAATTTGAAAAAAAAGGTGGCATTTCCTCTTTAACAAAGCTCTCTACTCTGTCATTTCCCATTTTCACTGTTTCGCTCCATCACCCTCTCTCCCTCTGTCTCTCTTTCTTTCTCTCTCCCTCAGTACCTATGCTCCAGTGAAGCAGTTTCTGCGTGTGGACAAGGACAAGGTAATCTACAGCCCTTTGTGGTCGTATTTTGTAATGTCATGTATACTGCCACATTGCCACCAGTCTGTCCATCTTTAATAAGAAACATTATCACTATGCTTGTACCCAAAAAAGATTTCAGATTGCTAGGATAACCTATATACTATACACTATCATACAGAAGTTTGGAATCTCTTGTCATATTAATGATTTCTGTTTACGTATCCAGTAATAACTTGTGCTGCATAGATTTAAATATCATAAACTAGACACCAAAAGGTATTCAGTTTTAGTAAATACACAGTTGTATAATATTTAATATTATTATAATATGATAACAAGAAGTTATTGTCTATATCTGTAATTATCTATTTACAATCATTTACCACTTTTCAAAAGTGAGCTTTGCGGTTTCCTCAGGCCATATTAGAATCACCACAGCACCGTTCATCATAATGGACACATCAAAAACCTCATAATGTTTCCCTTTATTTTATTGAAAATATTCATTTCAAAAACTTGAATGGTAGTGCATACAATGGAAATGGTGTAGCGTAATACAAATAGGATGGGCCAGTGGTAGCATGTGCGGTATGGAAGAGCTGTATGTGGTTAAGCCATTGCACACAATAGCAAACAGCTGGACCAAAGCTTTCAGACATGGTACTCAAAACTTAAAGCCAGTCCACATAATTCTACTGCAGTTCTCTTTATACTTCAGTCAGTTAACCTACTGCTCAGGGATGCTGTGAACAGCAACTCTCAGATGGGAACCTGTTGTGCAGCAGCCAGAAACCCTCATCTTCTGTATCTAAAGCCTGTTTGTGCTGTTCACAATGATCTCATGATGATGTGATGACATGACCTGATAATACTCTGCCATGCTGTTGTTATGAAATTACATCCTGTCTATAACATAATTATCTAGATTAACTGTGGTAATTTGAGTAAATCACACAGATGGTTTTTGTTGCACAAATTGGCTAGACAGTTCCCCTACTGGCAAAAACTAGTCCAACTCAACTTTTTGTGTTCCTCACCAGCTACCAATCCAAAAATACCTGTACCTAGAGTGCCTGTCAGGTTCTAAATTTCTCTTCTGATCTCTTGTAGGTTCAGATCTTTAATCCAGCGTTCTTCAAGTACATCCACGATCGCTGGACAAGGCACCATGGACGTTACCCCTCCACTGGCATGCTCGTCCTGTTCTTTGCCCTACATGTGTGTGATGAGGTAGATAACCACACAGATGCACAAACATTACACACACACACAAGGTGAAAGAGCTTACGTGGATAAAACCAGTTGCAGTTTTGTTTGTCATGTTGTTGGCAATTCCAAAAACATTGGGACAGTATGTGAAATGCTAAAAAAGAAACAGAAAGCATTATATCGCTGTCCAAAGAAGAAAAATGTTCTTTACTTTTAATGTAGGTTAATGTAATGAGATTTTCTTCCATTCTGTTCTATTGCTTCATTTATCACGAACAATTTTACACAATGTAAAGAGCAGCTGCTGTGCTCAAATGAAAATAAAATTGCAAAAAAATGGACATACTTTTTTTTAGACAACGAAAATTAGTAAATTCTGTTTGACCTGTAACACATTGAAAACAGTACAAAAACACAATATTTGAGGTTTAAACTTATGAAGTTTATTGTTTTTATGCTTATTCCAAATTTGATGCTTGCAACACATTCCAAAGAAGGACAGGAGCCTGTTTACCACTGTTTTACATCACCTTTCCTTTTAATGCCACCATCGTTTGGGACTGAAAACCTCAGTTGATCCAGTTTTGAAAGCATTTTTTTGCCATTCATAAGTTATTCAACTCTGCACAACCCTATGGGGCTTTCATTGATGTATATTGCACTTCATCATAAGCCACACATTTTCAATGGTAGACATGTCTGCACTGTAGGCAGGCCAGTCTAGCACCTGTACTGTGTTGCATTCTAGATGTTCAAGTTACCTATGCCATGGGCAATAATATAATACACCGCATACCATGACAGGCTCTTGCTTTTGAACTTCACACTGGTCAAAAAATCTGGATGGCCTTTTTCTTCTTTAGTCCAGAGAGCACACTGTAAAAGATTTACATAAACAATCTGAAAGGTTGACTTGTCAGACCTTAAAACATGTTTCCACTGTGCATCAATCCATTTCAGATGAGCTTGAGCCCAGAGAAGTCAGTGGCGTTTCTGGACATAGTTGACATATGGCCTGCGCTGTACATAGTAGTCTTAACTTGCATTTGTGGATACAGTAATTGACAGTGTTTATTATCAACGCTTTGTCAAAGTGTTCCTGAGCCTGTTTGGTGATATCCGTCATAGATTCATGCCAGTTTTTAATGCAGTGCCATGTAAGGGATCAAAAGTTGCGGGCTTTCAGTTGTAGTTTTCGGCCTTGCCCTTTACACAAAGAGATTTCTCCAGATTCGATGACTGTGTTGATGGTGATCATGATATGCTATGTAGAGAGTAAAATACCTAAAATCCTTGCAGTCAGTCATTGAGGAACGTTGTACTTAAACTGTTGTATTTGCTGATGCATTTTTTGGAAACATGGCGAGCTGCAACCCATCCTTGCGCATAAAGGACTAGGCCTTTCCTGAATACTGCTTTTATACTCATTTCACATACTGTTCTGACGTTTTTTTGGAAACTTGTTTTCATTTTATAATTTAACATCTTAATATAGCCAGGCAAGCCATTAAGAACATATTCTTGTTTTGAGTAGTGGTCTGGCAAGCAGCAAAATCTACTTGAGGGAGAGACAAACAAAAGAGAAAGAAAGTTTATATTTCATCCTGTTGGGTCATTGACTGTTTGAGCATTGTACGTTTAGATAGCTATTTTAAGTGAAGTGCTTTAAAAGTATAAGTTTAAAGTATGAGTCATTTTAAAGCTTAGTAGTTTTAAAGAAAACAGTCAGTTTGGTGTCAGCCGATATTCAAGGTTTCAAAAATATTTAAAGTATTGGTGTCAGAAAAGAAAAAGTGGTATCATGCCATGTCTAAATTATATGCACGACACTCCATGGATGCTCGCTGTGTATAATCCAGTGTTGTTACTGCAAAGCATGAAAACTGTGGATGTGTAAGATAATCTCTCTCTTGGCTTAGGTGAATGTATTTGGCTTTGGAGCAGACAGCCGGGGGAACTGGCACCACTACTGGGAACAGAACCGATACTCCGGAGAGTTCCGTAAAACAGGTGTCCATGACGCAGACTATGAGGCCCAGATCATAGACCGGCTGGCAAAGGCTGGCAAAATCACTGTCTTTCCTGGAAAGTGAAGTCCTAGAGTAGGTGACAGTGGGTGGACAAACTAAGCAACAATGCAAGCCCTGCTCCAGCTGACTTTCTTTTATGCTTGTGTACTGTTCACTAGTGCTTTCAGAATGGAAACGGTCCTGAAGAATGAATCAGGACCTCCTCACCAACGCCCAGTCCTGATCAGGAATCCGCCCCCCCTCCCTTTTTCACCGGTGGTTTTGATCGGAGGCGATTGTAACTGTTCCTTCCAGGCCTACCTCAATCAGGAAGAGGAACTGAACGAATGATGGACACTGAAGATACGTGCTCCTCCCTCAAACCAGCAGGTGGGTTAATCAGCGTTTGGAGCTGATTAAGCCAGCTCCAGCTCATGTTCAATGGAAGGACTGCATAAGGCTAATACAGAAAAGTATGTAACCGAACATAACGGTTGTCAATCATCCCATTCACGCCTGCCTCCCATGTGCTCAGCCAGTGGACTGGGAGATGGGTGCGATTAGCCAATAGTGACCGTTGTGATCCTAGTGCTATAATCCTCTGTGGTTCATAAATGCTGGGATGAGAAAGAACAGCCAGACTGTGCTGCACTGCAGCAGGTGGAGACCTCCTGTCGCCAGTGGGCGCAATAGAGCGAGTGGAAGTTTACATGCTCTTACGAAGCGACAAAACGTTTTTAGTCTGTTGTATTAATTCTTTTATCAGTACGTTTTATCCTGTTAAAGGGTCAGTGTGACCCTGCATCACTGTGCTGTCACAGCCATTTGAACAGATGTTTGTCATTACTCAGTACAACTCACTGTTTCATTATTTTAATTAATAGTTACCATACAGTATTAGTCATCTTACTGGAGCATTTAAAGAGAAGAAGTGAAGTCCACACTTACCGTCATTGGTTGAACTGAAACCACTTATTTAGTCCAGTATGCTCAGTCTGCGTTTAGACGTATATTTATAAATTGATACTTGTTCTAAATTTGTTCAGTGTCTGCAGAGGTAGAGCTGATATATCAAATATTAAATGAGCCAAAACGTCTAATGACAAAGATAATGAAATTATCTGCTGCCACCTAGTGTCCACAGAGGGACGCTACCTCATTTATGAGCAGGAACAAAAATGTATTTTTTTGTGACGAATCCAGCACTTGACACTGGGGAAATTAAAACTTCCCTCTGAGAAGCCCACACTGCTACATGATGTGGAGACTGTCATCACTGATATATGGTCTCTGCCACATTTCTTGTGACATTACTGTGACAAATAGCTCGGGCTCAGCCTTTGTGCTGCATGTAAGATCATGTTGGCATCAGTACCATTAGGTATTTATGACTGATTCATAGACAATTGTTGCTGCTTATTGAATCAAGGTGTTTTTTCTTTTGACAGTGAGGTTCGTTTAGCTGAATCTGTCATAGTTATTGCTTCTTTTTACACTCTGAGACAATGTTTTCAGTCTACACTTAAAGGGATATTTCGGCCTAAAACTAGAGTTTAATGTTATCTGTCGTGTTCTGCAGTATTCTGTTGCACAACATTGTATCCCTCAGCCTCACTGGACTGACAGAGGTTTTCGTTTAGCTATGTTTTCTTACTATACCTAGCATACATTACAATACACAGCAGACAATCCTTACTGGTGTCAACCAGTATTGATGGCTAGCCTTGCCACTGATCTGTAGGTTAATAAATACAACCAAGCTAGAATTACTGTAACTTTTACCTTGGTCACTGAACAAAATTATAAAGACAGCGATTTTGAGTTTATTCAGCACAAGATGGATGCCAGAGATAGCTATCTGGCACTCTTCTGAATTCCCCAGAAAAAATAACCATTGTTAAAAATTCACCCAGTGCAGTCATCAGAAGGGTTTTCCTAGTCTTAAAACCAGAAAATCTTGCTCTAACGACTACTGCAGCACTGTACAGGGTCAATGTAAGTATGTTTACAGCAGATGTTAACGATGGTTAGATTTTTCATTTTGGCTGGAGTGTCCCTTTAAGTATTGTTAAACGCTCAGCTGTCTTTGATTTTGAGTGTGTAGAGCAGTGTTCTGTGGAAGAGAGAGAGGCAGGTACCCCATGCTTTCTGCTTTGGCATAGTCCATGTTTTCAGGTGCAGTAGAATCTTTTCGAAATGTAGACATATCAGCTGTTTCCAGTAGTGTGGAAAACACGTGCAGACGCACACACACGCTTGCGTGCCTTGTCCTTGCTATGGACACATCCTCCCTGCAGTGCAACAGAAACCTCATACTCAAACCCATCATTTCCTGTGCTGTCCGATCAGTCTTTTTACTGTGCACGTTCTCTCTCTCTGTGGTCAAGTGTTCTTCAAAGCCGTTTCCGCTCCGAAGCAGGGCAAAATTGCGTAAAAGACCACACACACAATCCTATGTGAGGATTTTATTATTACAGCCCTTCACATTAAGCACGCCCTCCATTTCCTGAAGCTCATCCACCACTGCTGAGTACTGTGCCTTCAGGACCAGGGTGAAACCTGTTCCACCCACAGTCCACTCGTCTCTGCCCTAATTATCTACAAGTGAGAAACCTGCTGTCACTCCTAACCTCTCTTAATCCCTCAAATACATACCATCTGAGGGGTGCTATAAGTTGTATGAGTTGTAATATTGGGTGGGGTACAGTGTTAAGAGTGTCAGTGAAACCTGTGAGATAAAAATTTGATTTCATGAAAGCTCAGCTGTTTACTAACCTCTTGCAGGTGTAATTTTTCCTTGAAAACGACATGCAATTATGTCACCAAAGAGTCCCATCAGCAAACATTTTTGCTTTGGTATTCCTGAATTTTTGGTCAGATTTTTTAAAGAAAAAGTCATCTTCATCTGGGTCCTATGGGCCACATGCTAATCCAAAACCATGGTCAATACTGAAAAGTTTTTTTTTTTTTATTACTTTATCATCCCTAAAGGAACAGAATTGGATCAGACCAGGATCAGAATATGCATATTTTGGAAGGGAACAGTAATCAGTGAAAACAGTGATTACTCGCCAGCTGTTCCTAGATACTTTTGATGCGGTGACATGACTGTAACACAGACTCTCTCACCTATAGCACACTGAAAACAAGAGCCAGTATACCTGTCTTTGAGCATTCACTCTCACCGGCTCTGCATTTTATATCTTCATATATACACCATATTCTTCACATCAAAGGCCCACAAATCTGTGCCTGACTCCTTCAGACAGAACAAAGGGAGTCTCCTTTCCTTTCACTGATAGTTTTGCAGTGTTAGAATGCAGATAGTCTGGAAGGCTAATGTTATCTGTGACACTTTCTCTTATGGATCATTGTGATTCAACCGAAGTGAAAGGCTCTGACCTGCTAATGCTTGTACTGGACTGATTTGAATCATCCACACATTTGCCACACAGGGGCTTCTCCTTCAGCTGTAGGGCCCCACACACGAACCAGTAATCCACCGACAACACCGACTGTACATATCCTCCCGGTATTTTACTGCGCTTCTTAACAGAACTCCTCCTTGTTAGTGGTGTAGTTGGCCATCATTGGGTCAGTGCTCTCTTTCCTTCCTTTTCCAACCTCAATCTGTATGTGTAATTATGGACTGTTTTTATCTTATGCTATTGTAAGAAATAAACGCAAATTTAAAAGAAGTCAAGTCTTTTTTGTGATACATAGCATGTGTGCCAATCTTAACTGAATGTTTCTTTATTTAGGCTTTATTTTTTTTTGTGAATACTAGAGCAGATGTGAGGCAGCTTCAGAAACACATGCAAGGTGCTGCTACAAAGCAACAGGACAGTAACTGACATTTCCCTTTTATTCCAGTTCGCAAAATCTCTTTTTTATAGTTGCAGCAAGACCTTTCGCAATCATGACAAATGTGAACAAATGTCATTCCACAGGATAACAAACATTAGTGAGTTGCTCATCTATTTAATTCATTATTTATGTGTTAATATTTTTTATGAATGAAAGATGGCTCATTCCCAAGAGAAGGTATGGTATGACATGTGGTAGATTAGTTTTGATTCTAAACTGAACCAACTGAACCATTATAACAGCTCTCCAGTATCAGATAAGACTAAACCTCACAGAAATTAATGACACTGTTTGTCTAATGGCACAAAGACAGACTATGGTTTTTATACATTTATATGAGAAATTTGGAGGGGTGGACAAAAAGGTCAGGTGGGCTTAACACTGATTGACATACAGTCAATCAATACATAACTGGCCAATCAGACTCTTTTTGTGCATTTGAAACTACAAGAGAGCTGACTGGACGGTGTAACAGATCAAGCTGCAAGCTAGCATCTTGCGCTCATTCGTACTTCCCTTGCACATAGAGAGGTGCCCAGAGCTTCCCTTCCTAATCACAATGATAAATGAGACATATCTACAACCTTCTGTCTGGAATGTCCAGTTTAAGTTTCAGCAGGCAGCGCTGGATCACTCCAGTCAGATCAGAGGCAGTTCAACAACATCAGAGCTGAGCACCCCCCACACTGAAGTCTTGTCTTCCTAGTTCTCACCGAGTTTGAGACGAGCGAACTCGTTTGCCAACTGTAGTGCCTCCTGTATGCAGTGTGTGTTCCTGCCTGTAGCCTGAGCAGACATGTCTTTGCCTCCTCCTTTTCCATCCAGCAGTGGACACACTTCTTGCACCCACTCGCTGGCCTTCAGGCCCCGATTTGCAACCTCCTGCACAGACAGGGAAATGCAACAAATGAAATTATTTAAAACACGGACCAAAATTCTGCCACACTGAGTTTTTCAGAAAATGCTGAGGGCAAAAAGCACAATGGTTAATAAAAGCCTGTATACCTGTTAGTAATGTTCTGACAGCATATGGAGGCTTAATAATTTTATTTGTGGGCCTGATACTACAACAGTGCTTTCGCTAGATGAACTCCATCATCACATAGTTACATTACAGTCTGAAGTACTATTGGGATGGGATTAGTTTGGGGTAAGGAGGGATAATCTTACTCCAACGCACATGTGTAAGCTCCAGTACTCACAGGCCAAAACACTGCAGACTTAAGCACACTGCATCATTAAATACACCTGATTCAGCTCATCAGCTAATCAGCAAGGCCTTCATAAACTGAATTCAGAGTGCCAGATGAGGGCAAATGCTAATATCCGCAGCACTTTGACCAAGAAGGTCCCCAGTTTTGCATGCCTGCTCCAGGGCATAAATTAAAGATGAGAGTATCTACTCAAGTGGTCATCAATCCTCCTCTTCTTACTTCCAACCTGCATCTAATAAGCCACTCCCCACTTGCCTTACACTAATGCATCCGATACAGCCAATCAAAGATTACTGAAGAAGTTAATTAGCTGGAGCAGGTGTTGCAGATGGTGGTCAGAACTTATCTTTGGAGAAAGGTAGATCTCCAGGACCAGGGTTAGCGAACACTGGTCTGTTCGATTTACGCATTGCCATAACACCAATGTTCCATATGCAATATCTGCAGCTGCTCACATGAACAAAACATGTCCAAACATTAAATTTAATCTAAATTTTATTTAGCCTAATCATCAACTCATGTCACTGAATGCAGTGTGTCATCAGCTTGAGCAAGTCAACATCCGTACTTTTTTTCTTGTTGATTTACATGTTTTAATGTTCTGAGTTGTACACTTCAGATAGGGCAATTTGTACAAAGATCACTGAGAAAAACTGGTAGTAATTACATTACCCCTCCTCCTCATATAAAACTAATCCCATCTGACTTAAACCATTATATTCACTGTGAATAAGACTTGTGACTCATTGTGAAGCAGCAGAGTTTACCTGGGGCACTTGGCAGAGGCAGATGATCTTGCCAGCATCATTGTCGACAGTGAAGAGCATGGCAGCGGTCTGAGGGGACTGAGTCTTCAAGAGCTTCAGAGATTCATTTAGAGCCTGAAACACAAAGGAACGGGGTAACAATTCCCAGCCCAATAAAAACATTCTATTCAGAATACACCAACCTAACAGCATTTTTTCTGTTTGCCACTG